TAGGTCAAGCAGACGCTGTCATCACATCCCATCAGTCTCAGGACAGCTCTGGTTGTCTATGATCACTGTTAGGCTACATTCACATGGGCATATGAATATATGCTGCCAGAAGTTGGTAGAAAAAAAGTCTATGTGGTATATGTACACACATTTATGCGTGTTTACATACATATGGCGTTCAGAAGCATATCATGGGATCTCTGTTCAGCCAGTCTGATCATCCTACCCTTCAGTGGGGATGATGATTAGAGGAAAGCTTTTTTTCCTAAAAAGACATTTCAGCCCTTTAATTATTATTTATTTACCTATCCCAGTAAGCCTGTGCTAGCAGATCTCATTACCAGTTGTAAACTATATTTGAACACCATCTGTCCTAACAAAGGGTTAAATGTTTACATGCTCTGCTGTATGTTAATGAGAGGATACCCACCCTTTTCCTAAAGGCTGGTACACAATGGCCAAATATTGGCTGGTATTGGCCAATTCAACAGAAACCGGCCAACATTCGGCCAGTGTGTACAGTAGTCTGTCAAAAAGAAGCTGGCCTAAGGCCCAGCTTCCGTTGAATGGGCATACTGGACAACTAGCAGCCAACCGGCTTCCGATCAGCGCTCACAGCCAATGGCGGTCCCCCTGTCAGAACACAATAGCTCACAATAAACTTTTAGTGTGTACACTACACATAAGTCTTTCTATTGGGACTGAGCACATTGAACTTGTTGAGAAATGCTTGCAGTCAGCCATGACACCTTCTCACAAGAAACATCTAAAAAGTTAATAAATATTAAAAAAAACATTGTTTAGTTTTACTGTATGAGTGAAGACATACAACAAACATATAGCTAGGTTTTCTCAAATCTGACTGAAAATGTGACAAAATTTTAAATATACACAGCCCCATAACCTAGGATGGCCCAGCAATCCCATACTCCCTCCTTCTCTCTTCTCCATACTTCCAGACTGACCCCAGACTGCTCTATTGTTAAAGCAATTGTAAACCAAAAGTATAAACAAAACAAAAAAAATGGTAACAAATAAGTCATACTTACCTGCTCTGTGCAATGGGCATAAAGAAGCCCTGATCCTTTGAGGGCACGCATGCATGCTTGATCCCTAGGCAAGCCCCGTGTGTCCTTAGAAGCACACAGCATGACTTGGCTCCGCCTCCCCACCCCCTCTTCCCTCACTGGCTGTGATCAACTGCAGAAGAAGCCATTGATTCCCGCTGCTGCCTCTCTGTACAGTGAAGAGAGACTGAGTGGAGAGAGCCACTGCTCTTATGCATAGTGCTGGATCAAGGGTGGGGTGGGGTAGGGCTGCATTTAGAAAGTTTTTTTTTGTACCTTAATGCAGAAAATGCAATAAATTGGATCTTCACTCTTTCAATCAACATTGACTATTTTTAATCCTTATGCTACTAGCATTAGTAAATATATAAGAAAGTATATCATATTTATTTGTTTTACATTTTTTTTACAGTTCTTCAGTTACTTCCTAGTTTTCATGCCTAGGCAAATTATGTCAATCATCCCAAGAGTCTTCAGGAGGGGAGGAGGAGTTTTCTTAGCTAAGCACACCCTCTTGCCTACATGCCTGAGCTAAGGGTAGATGGATTCCAGGAAGTAAATGCTACAAGAATCATCTGCCCTTACTTAGGTTTGGCCACTGCCAGAAATGCTAGGGGGTGTTTTTCAAAGTGATTTCTCAGCAAAATAAATCATGAAGACATGAATGGATGGGGGAGTTTGTTTCAAATATTAAAAATCAGTTAAATAGCATTTTTAGTTTTTCGTGCTCAGATTCAGTGTAGTGCTACTTTAAGGTAAAAAAAAAAAAACCTTCTGCCTTTATAGAACCACTTTAACTCTTCACAGTGAAGACTAGAAATTCGGGGGAAGCAACACTGAGAGACCAGGAGTCAGCAGCCTTGAAAGTTGTAAAGTACAAGAGCCGGGGTAAGAATTTTAACAAACAGCTCACTGGGGAAGGTTTATTTTTTTATGCTCGATATGTTAAAGTAAAACCGTGGGGGTTTAATACTATTTTATCATTTTAGTAAAGATCTGCTTCAGTGGTTATGATGCACTGACGTGATAACTGCAGGTTGGTAAACGCGCGCACACACGTGCACAATTAGTAGTACAGCACATCTCAGAGGACAGGGACTGCATATACAGTTTGTGGCCAAAATTATTCAACCCCCACTGAAATTGAGTGTTTTGGCCAGTTTGACATTGCTTTTGATCATTCAGTCATCTTGCTTACATTTACATTAAAGAGGCACTTGTAGGTCAGACAAATATAACATAACAGTTATAATGAAATAACCACAAATGTCTTTTCTGTGCTCACAGCATTATCAGTTTTATTCAACCCCCCAAGTGACATTCAATCTTAGTACTTAGTACAGCATCCTTTTACAGTTATAACAGCTTTTAAACGTGAAGCATAGCTTGACACAAGTGTCTTGCAGCGATCTACGGGTATCTTCGCCCATTCTTCATGGGCAAAGGCCTCCAGTTCAGTCACATTCTTAGGCTTGCGCACTGCAACTGCTTTCTTTAAGTCCCACCAGAGGTTCTCAATCGGATTTAAGTCTGGTGACTGCGATGGCCACTCCAAAATGTTCCAGCCTTTCCTCTGCAACCATGCTCTAGTGGACTTGGAGGTATGCTTGGGATCATTGTCCTGTTGAAAGGTCCAACGTCTCCCAAGCCTCAGGTGTGTGACGGACTGCATCACGTTTCCATCCAATATCTCCTGGTACTGAAGAGAATTCATGGTACCTTGCACACGCTGAAGCTTCCCTGTACCTGCAGAAGCAAAACAGCCCCAAAGCATGATTGACCCTCCACCATGCTTCACAGTAGGCAAGGTGTTCTTTTCATCATAGGCCTTGTTCTTCCTCCTCCAAACATAGCGTTGATTCCATGGGCCCAAACAGTTCTAATTTTGTTTCATCAGTCCACAGAACACTATCCCACAACTTTTGTGGTTTGTCCACATGGCTTTTGGCATACTGCAGTCGACTCTTCTTATTCTTTGGAGACAGCAAGGGGGTACGCCTGGGAGTTCTGGCACGGAGGCCTTCATTACGCAGTGTGCGTCTTATTGTCTGGGCTGAAACTTCTGTACCACATCTGACAAATCTTTTCTCAGTTCCTCAGCAGTCACACGGGGACTTCTCTCCACTCTACGCTTCAGGTAGCGCACAGCAGTCGAAGTCAGCATCTTCTTTCTGCCACGACCAGGTAGCGTTTAACAGTGCCCTTTGCCTTGAATTTGCGAATGATGCTTCCTAAGGTGTCTCTTGGTATGTTTAACATCTTTGCAATCTTCTTATAGCCATTGCCCTTCCTGTGAAGAGAAATCACCTCTTCTCTTGTCTTCCTGGACCATTCTCTTGCCTTCACCATGTTTGTAACCACACCAGTAAATGTCTAGAAGGAGCTGAGTATCACAGTCATTTTAAAGCTGCCTAATTGGTGCTTATTATGCTTGATTGCTGCTCGGTGACATCCACAGGTGTTTTCAATACCTGATGGAAAGCACCTGTATGAACCTCTGTTCTTCAGAGTGGTAGTCTTTAAGGGGTTGAATAATTGTGGCAATGAAGAAACCACATAAGAACCATTTACTACTGTATTACATAAACAATTGATGTCATTTTAGTTGCATTTGGGTAGTTACAAACGTCCTTGTAGGATTTGATTCTGAATACAATTCCAAATGTACACTATAGTCCCTAAACCCCTTTACAGCATTGGGGGTTGAATAATTTTGGCCACAACTGTAGGTATGTCACAGTATCTGTTGACATGCATTGTCATGTGCACATTAACTCTATGTTCCCTGCAATGATGAATGATTTACACATAACAACACAGCTAAGCCCCATTGTCTTGCTGCATCTGTGAACACATAGGTCCATGTGTATGATTCCTGATTAGGCACTATGGTCAATCTAACCTGTTTGTGGCCCTGAAGGCAGAAGTATGGATTTGTTCACATAGAAGGAGAGGATAGAAATCTTTCATAGCTCAATAAGAAAACAGGTGGGATGTGACACAGGAGACGGGTGACTCAGAATATTAAGATTGGAATTCCATATATTTTGGAATAGCAGTGTAAATACATGTATATCAATAGCATGTTTGGTTGTAGTTCCATCCGTTAAAGAACCCATGCTTGCATCAAATTTCAAAGCAAAGCAACCAAGTGGAAAGGTGATTACACAGTGGATTGGCGTGGTGGGCTTTGAGGGTATGAGCATTATAAATATTCAACACTTTCAGAGCTTCTGTCTTGTGTTGGACAGCAGAAATGGGGCAGGTTGGGCAGCACAGTCTGTGGCGTTATAGTCAGCATTCACATAGGTGTGATTTTCCTTCATTGGATATCTTCCCAAACTTTAAAAACATACTGGTAGTTGGCTTACACCCAACTTACCCACACTGTGAGTTCAGATTGTGAACTCCTCTGGGCAGGGACTGATGTGTATGAACCATCTAAAAAGCACTGTAGAATGTTTTAGTATTACAACATAAATCATTTAACAAATAAAATGAAATGCTTACAACTGATCACAAAATAAAAAAAAAAAAAGTGCAACAAATGCATCATGAAATATCAATATCTTAAATGGCACTTCATTTACATCAGTCCATCACAGTGAACATTTTGTGAGTATTTAGATTGCAAGGGAATACTGATCAAATGAATGCTTTGGAAAAAAGAGAAAGGGTATGCACACCCTTAAAACTTTCCCAAACAATTCACCGACCATACTTGTGTAGCATCTCTCAGCTCTGTTAGAGTACATACCCTTTTACAAAAATCGAATGTTTATTAAAGTTTACCTTGACAAGGTGTAAATATAGTAAACTGTGATTATGTATAAATGTCCTCCAAGCAATCCTTTCCTAGATACTGCACCTCTGATAATTGCATTGTGACGTATGACAACAATGTATGAAATTATTATTATGTTTGTGACTTACAGCTAATTTCTGGAGAGTCAGTTTTACAGACGTCCATGTATCCATTCTTCTGTCCAATACGATTATGAATTTTACATCATTCTCATGTTTACTAAAAATACAAGAAAACATGTTTGACAACTGTTACAGTTAATTACTAATTAACAAATGCTAAAATTAATTATTCCAGATTACATAAATTATAGACAAAAACAAGGTTTCTGTTATTGTTCAACAAACTAGAGAAGCTTTGACCACAGAGGACTTTTATCTCTTGTATAGGTTGGTAAGACCTGTCATTGACAGACACATATCCACCACAACGAATGATTAGGAGATTTTACATCTGGCTATTTTTATTTAAACCAGTGGACTCCAAACTGTGACCCTGGGGTCAGATATGGCCCTTTGCTTGCCTTTATCTGGCCCTTGAGCCTCCCACTAACACCAATAATGGGGCACTATTCCTCACATTATTACCAACGATGGAGCTTGAGCTATTTTGCAAAGAAGAATGGGCAAAAATGTCACTCTCTAGATGTGCAAAGCTGGTAGAGACATACCCAAAAAGACTTGCAGCTGTAATTGCAGTGATAGGTGGTTCTACAAAGTTTTCAGGGGGCTGATTACAAATGCACACCACACCTTTCAGGTATTTACTTGTAAAACATTTTGAAAACCATTTATCATTTTCCTTCCACTTCACAATTATTTGCCACTTTATGTTGGTCTATCACATAAAATTCCAATAAAATACATTTATGTTTTTGGTTGCAATATGACAAAATGCAGAAACTTTCAAGGGGTATGAATATTTTTCAAGGCACTGTAGCAGTGGCAGAATTAAAGAACAACTATGGCTTTAAAATGAATAGGGTTAACAACCCCCCCCCCCCTCCTCCCTTACCCTCCATGTCTGAAAACCCACAACAGACCTCAGCATACAGCTTTCTCCACACTGCAGCCTATGCAAGCTACTTTAAGGTTTGCAAGACAGGTTCTCCATTAGGGTCTGGGCAGAAAAACACACATGCACAGTACAACACAGTCATTCAGCTTAGTAGAGGGGCTGTAAGAGCCACAAAAGCTGGCATGGCAGAAGGCCAATCACTGATCTGAGGTCTGTTGCAGCATTTAAGTATGGAAGATGGGGGGGGGGGGGGGGTCAGATAGTCCAATTAGATTTAAAACTCCAGTTATCCTTATACATGCTGTCTTAAGGTCTCCTTGACCCTGAACCACAACACTATGGCACCTGCTTTTTATAAATAAGTACATTTATACTGCCTTTAGCCACTTAGTTTAGATCCACTTTAAAGATTTGTTCGCCTCTCTGTGATGTAAAACACCCAACTAACTGCCTTGGCTGCAGAGAATTTCCAACATATCTGAATAGCTCTGTAGACAATAGCAAAACCTTTCAGGCCGCACAATTTTGCATTCACGATCTAAAAAACTCATCTTAGGTTTTTGTATAGCTCTGATACACCACAGGCAGAGTTTAGTGTCTTAAAAAAAATAGACCTGACCTCTGAAAATATGCACTAAATAAGTAATTGAACCTATATCAGACATGGAAAATATGAGAACATGTGCTTACTGACCAGCTAAAACAAGCACTTTGATATAAGTACTCATTCAACTCATGCACAGATTTTTATTTACTTCCCTTGGCAGTCATTTAGTGTGTCTGGCATGATAACTTCACTCATCCCTACAATTTACTTCAAAGCAGCCTGATATAAAAGAATATATTTAGATTCATTCAATAAAGTAGCAAAATGCAGCAATCAACTAGAACCCATCACTTATCCAATGTGTAGTGAACTGCTGGGTTGCAAGAAGGCACTAAACTCTTTACATCAGTGTTTCTCAACCTTTTTTCAGTAAAATTCTGCACCAACTCAAGGCACACCATTCTAAAATTGTAAGAAAATTGAACTAATAGTTTTACATAATGCAGCAATATTTACACACCTAGGACATCCAACGCTACAGGTGATTTATTATTCCAAAGAAAATACACCTTTGCACACTGGCACTGATTAGTATTCCAATATTTATCTTCTCTCTCAGTTTCTTTCCCTCACTCAGCTAATGTGACCCCAGTGCTGATGGAGAGGGACAAACATGGATGCTGTGCGGCACCTGATGTCCTCCTTGTCAACTGCTGACATCATTGGTTGTTAGGATACCGGTGGCTGAAAGGTTGTAATGGTGCACAATGAAAACCTGTGACTTTATGTAACTAAAAGACAATTTTTGGGTAATTTATAGGCATTTTTCCAAGGCACCCCTGCAGAAACCTAAACGCATCACAGAGGGCCTGGGCAACCTGGTCAAAAAAGGCTGCTCTACATCATCCTTGTATTTTCCACAACCATAGGCTAAGAGTAAAGTCAATTATCAGGTACATATCTTACAAACAGCGCTCTTTATCTCAATGGTGTAACTATATCCATAGCAGCCCAAGTGATTGTTATAGGGCCTGAAGACATGGGGACTGAGCACTTTCCAGTTATGCAGTGGATTATGCAGGTACAGTAAGTACAGCATGTATAGTGCAGGAACCTCTATAGGATTGTTGTACACAGAATTCTAATTTCTTTCATAAGAGCAGCCTTTCTCAAACTTTGTACATCAAGGAACCCTTGAAATCATTATAGGTCTTGAGGACACTCTGATTAAAAAATGTACCTACAGTTCGTGGTGCGTTAGCACAATGGCTAAACTGTAAATCACTTTAAATATAAGGATCAAATATATGGCATGCATCAGAGGCATCCCTAGGGTTGGTGTCACCCGGTGCGGTAACACTTGGTGACACCCCCTCCGACAATCCCAGCATAATGGATTGGACTCCGATCCATTATGCTCAATCCGCAGATCCGATCCATCCTGTGGGGATCGTTGGCTTTCTTTACAACTTACCTTTTCTTGGAGCGGGTCTGGTGTCACCCCGTATAGGTTGTATGTCGACGATCCCCGCAGAATGGTTCAAATCTGCAAATTGAGCATAATGGATCGGAGTCCGATCCATTATGCTCCACAGTCCGCAGATCCGATCCATCCTGCGGGGATCGTCGGCATGCAACCTATACGGGGTGACACCGGACCCGCTCCAAGAAAAGGTAAGTTGTAAAGAAAGCCGACGATCCCCGCAGGATGGATCAGATCCATCCTGCCAACAATTCCGGTCCGGTGTCACCCCGTGCGGTCAGTGCCACCAGGTGCAGGCTGCACCCCCCGCACCTGCCTCGGGACGCTACTGGTATACATAGTGTATTTAACACAGACCACACAGATGTTCTGTTAATGATGGCAAGAGAAAACTCAGTTTCCATAGACATTTTTCTGAATTCTACTCCCAATCTTCTGTCCATCTCATAGTATAAGTAATTGAATCCATCACCAAGGATATCCCTCAAGTGGAGCACTTTAAGCGTCTCTGCGAGAGGGAAACCTTCTGGATTTACACCCTTGACACCATGGCCCCGGGGGGGGGCCTGAAAATGAAGATTTAGAACTAAATACTATCATATAGTACTTTCTGTCAGCGTGTACAATTCTGTTCCCTCCCCCTCTCCTCCTGCATTACATTAGGCATGTTCATCCATTCCTAGCACCATGATCATTATTGTTCAGTCCTATTACCACCATTATATTTTCAGTACCCCTATAAGTATTTTAGTGACCTCCCATACATTTTATTCAGCATGGAATTCTATTTTAAGGACCATAATCATTAATGTAGAGCCCCATTTTAATTAATATATCCCGAGTACCCCCACTAGCATTCCCACCATCCTCTATGCATTACATTTCTCCACTTAGTATGGAATCCCTATGAGTCCCTATGCATTCATTTGGTTTTGTATAGGGTTCAGAGCATATAATTTTTATTATTTACTTCTTTTGCATTATTTTGGCTTCCCCTTTGTTTTATTCCTTACAGGACCCTTATGGTCTTTTTTATGAAACCGTCTTTTATATGAACACATCTGTTTGTAAGAAAACATCTTGTAAGTATTGTAGACATAAGCATAATTTCTATAGCATGTCAATTATTTTAGTAATAAGTTGAATGACCCCTTTGAGTGTATATTAATATTCTTTGGTTGAATTGTGGCAACTGTGCAGGCTTACTGGGCTGTTTAGTACACCTGCAGCTCTTGCCCATTTATACCCCACTCAAGAAGGCCGATTCATGGCCTGAGGAAGGAGTGCGCATGCTCTGAATGCGTACCTTACGCATACTTACAGTTCCCATGATGTCATCAGCTGTCAGCCTCCCTGCATCTCTCTGCTACCCCTGGAGCCCTGGAGACCACAAGTGTGGCCGGGATGAAAAGAACCGCAAAGCCTCCACAGCTGCTATACCAGGATCTACTGAACCACAACTCGCTTTGATAGCCGGCTGCTTTCTACCTTGAGAGTCACCTTCACCTAGATCACCATGTACTGTTGGACATTTATATAATAGGACATTGTTGACACTCATCAGTCTGCAATTTTTATCTATATGGTTTTATTTTTATTTTTATCCTTATCCTCCCTATTTATGAATCCATGATTGTGGCTGGATGATACATTGAGTTGTCTCCTTAGTGCTCCCCACTCCCCTTCCTATATTTTCTAAAATATGTCTAATATGAAGGTACTAAAAAAGCAATTTATGTTACTGTATTGTTATTACTGTAATATCACACAGTTATCTAAAGCTCAGTGACACTTTCATGCACTAACAGAATTCACCAGGAGGCACAGTCTAAACATTTACTTCTACAAGTCTAATATTATTTGGACGGCTGACTTTTCTCGCTCTCAAATCTAAAAGGGCCTTATAACCAAACACATAAAGATCTATTTGAACCTAAAAGCTCTTATTAAAGTATTGCAATCTGTACCTTGGAATGGAGGTCAGATAAGTTAAAACAGTTTTTAGCAGGCCCTCGGGAACTTCGTTGAACGTGGTGTTTTCAGGAAATGTGATGATCCAGCCGTTATCCTTCCCCCGACCACCTATGTGAATTATATAACATAATTGATACAACATTGTGACTTAACAAAATTCCAATGAAAAGTGTGAAAAACAGGATAAAAAAATAACTATTATTTCCATGTATAGTCAAAAGTTTTAATCAGGCATTTTTTCTGACAAGGAGATGAGATAAGTCTGATATGCTGATATTAAAGTGGACCTTTCAATAACTATACAATACAACTCCACATGATAAATTCTGCTAATTTCACAATATACGATAACAGTGTAATTTAAAAAAAAAAAAATCTCTACCTTTTATTATTAAAAAGCCACTGAGATCCAGTCAAGGTCTAGTCCACTGAGTTCCAGTCAAGGTCTAGTCCAGAGTTCCAGTCAAGGTCCAGTCCACTGAGGTCCAGTCAAGGTCCAGTCCATTGAGGTCCAGTCAAGGTCCAGTCCACTGAGGTCCAGTCAAGTAACTGTACAGAGTCATATGATTTTACCTATGCTGAGATGCTGTGATCGGTCTGTTACCGGCAGGATGAAGCACTTCTCCAGTCTCTCCCACAATGATCAGACTGCAACATTCTAACTGTTTTTTACAGCTCTACACCCCGGTTCACACTGCTGTGACTTATGCAACTTGCGGCACATAAAATTGCATGACAAGTCAAAACACATTAATTTTAATGGGTGCTGGTTTAATCAATGCAACTCAAAAAGCAGTGAGAAAAAAAAAAAGGTTCTTGCAGTATTTTTCTGCGACTTTAGTGCAACTTGAGTGGCGCAGACTGCAATGTTAAATCACAAAAATCACAAAGGAAGATGCAAGCAAGTTGCAAGACTTTGAGGTCGCAGCAGTGTGAACCTAACAGGAACTAATCTGCACCAAACACTTGTGAACATAGCCAGGAGCTGCACAGGCACCAAGGTTGACAATATCTAAGCAAGCTTCTCAGCCCAGAAAGTACACCCTGACCATGGATGATGCCTGAAGGAAGATGGAGCTGATCTGATAAGGAAAATAGATTAGGGCATAGACAGAGGAAGAACTGAACTAAATATATGAATGTGTTACACCTTAATCATTACTTAGCATGCAGGGAAAGTATACCTAATGCTAGGTCCACTTTAAAGCCTCATTCACGGGCATGTGGTTATGTGAAGTTATAGGACCTTTGTAAATGCATATAATTGGAATTGAACATGGAACATGGAATGATTTGAAATAGTATAATGCACACTGTGCATTTACATGCGTTCGGGTACATTTTAGTGTAGCTGCAATCTAGGTCTCATGCACTCAGATGTATTTGCAAGCATATGGTTGTACAGCTTAAAATGCGTCTGTAATTGGGGCACCCAGGAGTCCTAGTTGCTGCGAAATTCTGCCCATAAAAATAAAATTACAAAATATGTTACGCTGTATGCAGTTATGCACTTGTAAGCACCTGTGCTTGAGTTTACATGCACACACATATGGGTGTATTTTCAAGTTTCGCATTCATAAAAATATGCCATATACCTATAGATGCAAATAGTGGTTTTCATACCATATATCCATGTACAGCGTATTTTGTAATCCATTCTTATAGACAGGATTAGTGCTTGGTTACACTTGCAGTTTGGGAAGGGGAGTGGGGGACAGTAAAAACGTGGTTGGCTGCATTTTTACCACACCTCAAACCACTCCCCCTTGAGCTGCAGAGGATGGAGGTGTATTGTACTGTATTTTGCTTTGTGACTGTGGCAAAAATATTCCCCATTGCACTCTGCAGGCGCTATCCATTCACCTTGCAGCACTCTTCACAACCTGTCAAGCGCCCTCTGTAGAACGATCCACTTCTAATGCTAGCAAGAACAAGCCCTTACTTAGAGTGCTGCAAGTACAGGCGTATTTTATCCTATGTCCATACATCTGCAAATGCGTTCACGTGCATAAGCCCTTTAAAAAAATAAAAACTGTGCATCCAGTGGTATATTAAATACTTTAAACACAGGAGAAAGTGATCTGGAAAGTCTAAACATTGTTTATATACCAGATCAATGTCTCCTGCTTTTAAATAAAACAAACGCGGGAGGCCCATGGCAATGAGTTGTTCCTCTGCACTTGACTGTCTCCACTTTTCTCAAGTCCTGTGCACAGCAAATTTTTAAAAATGTTTTTATTTTATTTTCAAACTGTGCTTTCAATAAAGAAAGTAAATGCACTTCTTGTACACGGAAAAGAAGATATATAAGTAACACTCTGCTATGTATTCCTGTTTCATGACACGTTAGATTTCCCTTTTGCTTTCTGTCTTGGTGAAAATAGTCACAGTGAGGAATAAAACTCTACAGAGATTCTAACACTTCCCTCTTTATGCAAAAGCACAAAATAAAAAGTTTTGCCCACTATTCCGATTTAAAGAGGCTCCACATCCTAGATCAGCTCTTTTTATGAAAAACGTTTTAATATCTTCACTCCCACTCTCCGTAGGGGTCCCTCAAGGTTCTGTCCTTGGACCCCTTCATCTTCTCCATCTACACCTCCTCCCTTGGAAAATTGATAAGCTCCCACGGCTTCAATTACCATCTCTATGCTGATGACACACAAATTTATCTTTCTACCCCTCAGCTCACCCCTTCAGTCTCCACTCGCATTACTAGCCTACAAAGTAACATATCGCATAGATGTCGCTCCACTTCCTCAAACTCTGCGCTGACTTCTCCATCAAGATCAATAACACAATCGTCAGTCGCTCCCCTCACGCCAGGGTACAGGGGTAATCCTAGACTCCCATCTGTCCTTTCAGCCCCAAATCCAATCACTGTCCAAATCTCGTAGACTTCACCTTCAAAACATCTCCAAGACACGACCGTTCCTAACCTCGGAAACCACTAAGCAACTTATTCACTCCCTTGTTATATCTCGCCTTGACTATTGTAACTCCCTCCTCATTGGCCTACCTCTTCAGTCTATCATGAATGCTGCTGTCAGACTCATCCACCTTACTAACCATTCTGTATCTGCCCCAAATTACATCACCAATCTTGTCTCCAAATATCACCCAAACCGTACTCTCCGCTCTTCGCAAGACCTCCTACTCTCTAGCTCCTTTTGTCTCCTCCTCCCATTCTCATCTCCAGGACTTCTCCAGGGCTTCACCCATCCTCTGGAACTCTCTACCCCAATCTATCAGACTATTGCCTACTCTGCTCACTTTTAGGTGATCTCTGAAAACCTGTTTCTTCAGAGAAGCCTATCCTGCCCTCAGCTAATACTGGAATCTTCTACTCTTTCAACCACTTCATCCCCCACAGTTACTACCTTTTGTACCACTAACCCCTCCCCTCTAGATTGTAAGCTCCAAGGAGCAGGGCCCTCAAATCCCTCTTGTTTTGAACTGTATCGTTACTGTATTGTCTCCCGCTATTATGTAATGCGCTGAGCAAACTGTTGGCGCTATATAAATCCTGTATAATATTAAATAATAATATATAGCTTGTATTTGTAATTATACGTGTACACGCTGTGACAGGGGGGCTCTTTCACTGGGAGAATATAGAAAAAATATAACATAGGATTTACATTTAGGGTTAATGCGAAGTTCTAGATTGCTGTTTCTGAGCAGAGAAAGTTGCCTTTTTGGCTTTCTCTGGATTTTGTGATTCTGGATCAAACTTTCAATCCTGTGTCCGGGTTTTGCCAGATGCCTGCAACCAGTCTGCATGCACAGGTGTGCAGGGTCATTATATACTACAGGTCTGAGGAAAGCACAGTGCTGTGGTCAGTTTGGAGACCGCTCCCTGTGTATGAGATGGAAGGTCCCAACCAAGGGTGAGAGGTGACCCAGCCAGAAGCCAAGAGACAGTGGGCCTCATCAAGGGGTCACAGGTGCCAAGCCAGGAGACAGCAGGTCTCAGTTCCAGGAGTCAATTTGGCTCTTATTGGTGTGTCAGGAGAACCCCAATCCATAGGCCAGAGGTGGGCCGTGCAGCAGGGCACTGCAACTAAAGGCTAGAGAACCAAGCGTTCAAGGAGAGCTGGACAACACAGTCACAGGGACTGGTGAGAGAAGCAGCAGTGCTACCAACAAGTGAGTCAAGTGGCTCTGTATTTTCATTTGCACATATTTCTGTGGAAGAAACCCCTGCTTGGGAAAAAGATGTGCATGTGAACTTTTGTTTATTGAATAAAAGTGGGCTGCCATGCTCTAAAATACAGCTTTGGACTGGCGCAACTCACTGTAAACGCAACTATTGAGTTTAATCACCCCAATCCCACAACGTGGACAGCTATATTTGCTCATTACACAAGCAGGGGTTGCTTCCTGCTCATCAACTTATCTCACTGATAAGGCCTATCTGATTTTCTGCATGCTAATAATATGAAACTCCCATTCCTTCTTCTTTGAGGCCATTTGCTTTATCCAACCCTTGGGGCACTATTCCTCCCACTGACACCAATGATGGGGCAATATTCCTCCCACTGACACCAACAATGGGACACTATTCCTTTCCACTGACACCAATGAGGGGGCACTATTCCTCCCACTGTCACCAATGATAGGGGGCACTATTCCTCCCACTTGTAATAAAAATGCGGCACCGTTCATCCCATTGACATCCGATTAACAGCAGCTCAGTACTATTCTTCCCACTGATAGCAACAATGGGGCAATTTTCCTCCCAGTGGCACCAATGAAGGGGCACTACTTCTTCCACTAACACCAACGATGAATCATTATTCCTCCCATTTACTTCAATGATTGGGGTAATATTCCTCCCACTGACAATAACAATAGGGCACTGTTTCTCCTATTGACACCAACAATTGAGCACTATTCCTCCCACTGACACCAATGATGGGGCACTACTTTTCCCACTGACACCAATGATGAGACATTATCCACCCACTGACAAAGGGGACACTATTCCTCCCCCTAATATCAAAGATGGGGCAATGTCCAGCCCCTCTAAAGTCTGAAGAACAGTAAACTGGCCCTTTTAAAAAGTTTGGAGACTCCTGGTCTAGGCTGTAGGTGACAGAGTTCAA